AAAGCTCACCAAAGGAGGCAAAAATGGAATAAAAGATGGGAAATCAGGCAATTCATTTTCATGCTCTTCTTTAAGAATGCCAAGCTCAGCATTCTTTATTCTTTGTTGTATCCTTAACCTGCGAACCTGTACGCATGGATGAGGAGAGACCGCTTAAAATATTAACACGTCTACAACCTTCTTAAACTTTCAGTAAAAGGACGACCAGCCAGAGAAGGCAAGACGCCTAAAACTGTTCAGCTCTCAAGCAAAAGCCTCAAATTGACGAGGAAGGTCAATAACCACAGACCTCTTCCATGTGCAAGAAAATTTTATTTCGACGACTCCTGATACTATCTTGAATTTCTTGCAAATCCATTTTGACAAAATCTTGAACTGTTTCAGGGCCTTCTATGATACAGAAGCTGCAATGGTGTTCAAAAGATAAACATAAGCACCATAGTTCAAATTTGCAAGGATGTGACAGCATAAGAATTCTTCAAAAATAAATACTATAAATGCATATCTAATCCCATGATTTTCATAACTAGAACCGCCATATCTTCTCAGTAATATCATAGACCAGGCATGAAACAAAAGTGATGACCATCTTTACAGATTTTTCAAATTTAACTTTTTTTTAAAACCCTCTAAAAAAGGCAAGATTTTTAGACCCACCCTGAAAAAAAAAATGGTGAAACCGGAATAGTAGACCCTAGTGACAGAAATTGTATTTCCGTCAATTAATAAAATCACTGCCCCTAAAAGCAATTGAGCTGAATCGTCTGCACACGAGAAAAAGCAAGCAAGAGAGAGAGAGAGAGTACCCAGCAGGGTTTTTGTCGGTGGAGTCGCCCGCGGCATCGGAGTCAACGGAAGCAGAGAAGGACGAATCTGCATCACCTAAAGCCAGCACGCGCCATCTAACGGCGGAATGACGCTGGGGGATCCTTCGTCCCCAGCTCGAATCAAGAGTAGTGGGAGCAAACGAAGAGATAAAGATCCGATCAGAGCACATCATCTTATTTCAACTGATCTATTCCAGATACAAAAACCTAATCCAGAGTACTGCGGTCCGTAAATGCTTTAAAGGCTCGCCGGAGATGGAAGTGGTGGAAGCAAAACGTTGAAGATGTGACCTGAGATTTGCGGCACCATGGCAGGAGCAGCAGTCACCAATGAGAAAATTTGGGGAATACGGCAGGATGCCATTTGAAAAGCTGATGAAAAGAGATAATTACGTACATATTGATCTCAGTAAAAAATTCCTTAGTAGTGTGCGCCAAATGCTCGTGCAAATTAATATATAATTTATTAGGGGGCAGAGGCCTTCAATTTTATGTTGCAGAAATAATACTTGTTGGTGGATTATATATATATATATATATATATAGATTATTCACATAATATATTCTTTAAGCTTCCTTTATGTTTCTCATACAATTAAGGGCTCATTTTGGGCGTCAGTGTGGTGGCGGCGCGGTGCTGCACGATAGTTTTATCTGTTTAATTAAACTACGTTTTGATTGATTTTTCAAAAAATTATTGTTGAAATTTGAGTTTTTCAATCAATTCTGACTAAGATCTTGTCGCAGTTTTCTAGTTGCGATATGACTTTTTTAAAAAAAAATAATAATAATAGCGCAACTTTTTTAGCATCATATTATTTTTTAACAACTTCACAGTTATTTTTTTTAATTCGCTGCAAGTGCCCCAAATATACCTTAAGCTATAAGCTGAAATTATTTATTTTCTTTGACATGATTAAAAATTTCAAATAAATTGGGGCTCCCACTCCGTAATTCTCAGTCACTCAAGGATCATTTCTCTCATGTGTTCCTTGTTCTTTAGATCATCCTCTCTGCCACTTTAGAGGAAGGGGGGAGCACATCATTCTCTTCGTTCATCTTCCTAATACAACTTTCTCTCGAAATTATAAACTTACGAGCAATACAATGCCCGATTTCTCAAAAAAAAATCAACATATATATTAAATCAATCAAAAAATTATTTAAAACGAGTATAATCTAGTCCATTATTATTAAAATCATACAAAGCCTTAAATTAAACCTTTACGAACTACTCATCTTAGCTCAATTAAGCCTTCATTCATAAATTCCATATAATCGAAAATAACTTGGCCTCGCTTGCGTGACGGATAAGAGCGTTTTTGGCCTTTTCTCCAACAAAAAATAGAGCATTTCCCATCGCCACATTCTCACTTGTGGATCGTACGTGCATTGGACAACGACTTCTAAAACCCATTTATAGACTCATCCACTATCCACTATTTTGGCAACACGCAACCAGTCAATTAAAATAAAAAAATTGCTGGTATGTTTTATTTTATTTATAACTTTTTATTTTGATATATAAATATTAAATTTGAATATATTTTTCAAAATTAAAGAAAGTAGTATATTTTTTTGGGCCCCATCATGATTTTGGGCATCGCGAGGGTACAAATCGAACTTTTAAAAGCTAAAAATAATTGAGATTATTTTAGACATTTGATTTTTTGGGGCATTTAGGAACGTACCACCTAGTTCTTTCTATTTGCATTAGAACACCTAAATTAAAATTTTTAATTTATA